CTTACATAAGCTTTGACGTTTATGTACGCAATATTACAGCAAATCATGTGAAACAGTGTAATTTTGTGTTTTAGTTGGTTTAACCTAGATTATGTGAGCTTGCCTGCAATGATATGTGTGATAACTTTCATCGACCACTTGATCTATACAACAAAATTCAAATAGGGCAGGAGGGAACAAAGATGAAGAGAATAAACTGAGTGATGAATAACGTAAGTAGTGTAGGCGGTGTAGCACAGGCACAACCTGGAGGAGGAACTAGTCTAAATTTGTAACATTAAATTGAAAGTATATTGTTAATTTCATAGTAAACTGTAAGCTTGATATTAATATATTCATTATGTTACTATATTCAATATAATTTCATATAATAGTATATAACTTACCACCAGTATAATATTAGTTCAAATTACAGCTGCTTCAGTTTGTGGTTGTTTTTTATTCATTAACTTTGTGCAAGAAAAATGCTCTAGGCTATGCGAGTCTCCAACCTTGATTTTAAGCAGGCTACTAACTCGCCAGTAATCATAACCATTTATGCAGAACTATGAGTTCAACATTTATAAAGTTTGTTGCAGCACATCAAACTTTATTTTAAATCCCGCTCAATCCAGGCTGTGAATGATTTGTTCACAAAAAGTGACATTAACAAGAGCATCGGCTTTATGAGAAGTTCAACGTGTTTCAATAAAAAGGCAGAGATTTAGCTAAACAGCCAAATGTTAGCCAACCCCACACGCTCCTTGAATTTTCCCTGTTGTCTTCTGTCTTACCGATTCAGCTTCTTACAGCGCGTCTTGCTCTTGTTTTTCAGGAACGAGGCTGTTCAAGTGGCCACAGAGCGACCGGCCAACCAGGTTAATCCCGTTACTCCTGATCGCCACTCCAACTATGTTTTGGACGATTAGCATTGAGGGTCCGGTGGGGTGGGAGATTACGGTCGGTTGTATTCGTAAATCATTTTCCGGTTCGCACGGATCTATTTTTTGGAGCGTTTAAGAGTGAAATAGGCGCACGGTAGATCCCTGCGCCTAATGTTACAGAAACAAATCACTGCCTTTTTAGTATTTTTGGCTATGCATTATAAATAAATACGTTCACCTAAACTTTTAGCAAACAAACTTTAGGACAAACAGGATTTTCACATTGAAAAAAGTATCTTCAACATTTAATACCTTGTTAAAAGGCGATTAAGACTTTTTAATGGACTTAATTTTCGCAAAATTGATTTACTACCTTTTAAGACTTTTTAAGACCCCGTGGACACCCTGTTATATGTTAATTCCAACTACACTGCCTTTCATGAGTAACCAGTGTTGCTCATAATCATTTTCATTTTTAAGATCCTTGTTTGTACTTACCTCCTTTGCATGTGGTTCATTTTAACTCTACGGATGATGGCCACTACCTTCTGATGCACAAACTTTTTTTTATTTCACTCTGTCATTAACTGAGCTCAGATGTGTTACTCACCTATTGTTGCTGCTTGTTCTGGGTCAAATGTGTCATCTGTAAATCTCAAGAGGAGGCTGTTGAGTGGAAGAAGAAAATAATTAGATTAAGACTGATTATGAATCACTAACAAACACATCAGAACGGCACTTTTAAGTACTTCTTTTCCACACTGGCTGAGTAAGCTTTTGATCTGGAATCAGATTTCCATTTGCTTTGTTCACATAACCTGTCCTGCGGCACCAGACTTATCGAATTCTGTGTCTCTATCTCTTTCTATTGATGACTTTGTCCTTCACTTGCATTACATGTACAAGCTCCAGATGATATCACCGCTAGATTGCAGTCAGAAGGACAAGGTTCATTTCTTAACTATGACTAATCAAGTGCATAGGCCTTAATCACAAGGCTGATGATGGGGATAAACTCACTCCTTTCCCTTGACCTAAGGATAATTCTCTTATTTTTCCTCATGGGCCATCAGGAGGGATGCTGGAGCAATGAGTGTTTATTGTTTGAGGTCCATACAGCCAATGAGCTATGCTTGGAGACTGCCAAGTTAGAAATGTGTTCCGTGTAGGTCATTTGTTCAGGTAAAATGAAACTTGTGTATTCCTTGCCAGGCAGACATCTCCCTGATGATTTAAGGGCTTCTACAGATTGCAGGAAAACAAATTCAATATCTGTATGCTACTCAAAAATTAGTCCAGTCAGTAACCCTACTTGACGATAGCACAACTGGCACAGGATAATTCAAATAATGACATTTGAAACTAATCATAGTCTGAATTAGTTTATTGTATCAAGCAAAAGCCTATTTAATAATAATACAAAATTACTTTCTGGAAACAACGCCCTTGGCCTCAATGTTACACAGTGATTCACAAGCAGGCAGCGCAAGTACAGCTGGCCACAGAACTCTTCTGTTTTCTTGAAATATAAGCAAACCTTGGTCCATGTTATGGTGTTGGCAAAAACTCCTGTGCACTCAGTCAATACGGAGTCCACATTAAGAAAACTACCAGCACTACTGGAGAAAATGTGAGAAAAAAAAGAGAAGAGACTTCTACCGTAAAACTAAAACAGGCGAGAGAAGTGTGTTAAAATCAAGAAATTATCTAAATAAGATAAAGCTAAAAAAGTAAATAGAGGAACAGTGATAAGACAGAGTAAAACAATGTGGAAACATTACTGCTGAAATTTCTCCGATGTAAAGAGCGTGAGCTAGTACAAATATTTGAGATTATTTTCAACCTTCTGGGATAACACTTAGGTGATTCAAAGTGAAAGTATTCTCAAAGCCCATTTACATTGGATGCCATGTTGATCATGCTGAAGACCCCAGTCTTGTGATCACCACACAAGAAATCCAATTCCCTTTTGCGGTTCATGTTACGTCTTGATGAACCTGAGGCTTGGTCATCAGTCTACACTAAATGATGATTTCATTTTTTTTTTTTTTTGGCCAGACACAAACCTTGTTGTAAGCTTTTTTGTCAAAGGACGTACAACAAAGCTTTGGGCAGCACATTACCTGTGTGCCGTGCTATGACTATGGAAGGCACGCTGTACTTGATACCATAGTTTGCAATGTGATGGTTGATGGCTCAGGCTGTGTGTCAGGATTCTTTCATGCAGTCTAAACCACAGTCATGGAGACCAGAAAACCTGGCCAATCTCTCTGCTGCCAGACTGATGTTGGTAAAAACAATATACTCTGCTTTGAATATTAGACTGATTTGTGGTTACTAACAAGGATCTCGGATTACCATATAATGGCAAAATCAACTGTGTGGTAAAAGCTATAACGTTGCAGCCGTTTTAGTCCTTCTAGTAGGGCCAAGCCTTCTCAAGAATGACCTTTTAACTCAAGCTGACATTAGCCCACGTAGATATTAGCTGTTGTGTTCATAGTGAGGTGTCAACCACTTGGAGACCACCATATTGGTGAAACCAGCGATAAGAAGACAATAAATATACAATTCTGCCATCCCAATTCTCTACAGTGACTATCTCTTGTCTTCACTTAAATCTGCTAAGATAACTTACAGTTGGCTTAGATAACTGTCTGCCGCAGTGGCAGTAAGCCACGAAGACAGGGCAGAAAAGTGGTCTCGATTGCAACATCTTCAAACAGCTGTCAGACGTGAACAAAGATGTTACATACTACAGCTATTGGCAGCTAGCTGAGTTTAGCTGACCAGCCAGCACACCACAAGCATTATTTTAGTTCATAACAGCCGGACGGTGTGGCCTGCTTAATTTTAGAAGATGCCGACCACTGCGGAGTCGTCCACGTCATTTTAAAACGCTGCATTATCTCTGAACCGCACATCACTGGATTTTCTGCTAAGCTAACGCTAGCTAGCTAACGTTAGCAGTGAGCCACGACATCAATTTCGGGGAGACAACTTCAGCTTACCTGGACTTCCCAACACCACTTTCTCCTATTATCAATATTTTCAGCGTCGTTAATATATCTTCTTCCATTTTCCCTTCACTTGTTACTCTCGATAAATTTTACAACACCCTGTTAAAGACGACGTGCCTCAGTAACTTGCGTCCCTGTTTACAGCCTGCAACAGAGATAGTTTGACAGCAAGATGCCTCCCTCCAAACATATCCGGTATGACTTCTTGGCACTTCCGCTTGGTACACGTACATGAACATCTGATGAGCCACGGTGAGCTGATCACACAAAGCAGACGCTATTGTAAGATAGGGTTCACGTGTATTTTGATTTACTTTGTAGCGGAACAAAATTGGAATCCATCATGTTGTGTCGCATAACATCAGTGAAACAGGTACTGATTTACATTGATTCTTTTAATTAGCATTTTATTATTATATTAACACATTCCAATACATCTTTGTTATTACAGTTATAAACGGTTACACAATTACTGTGTATACAGTTAATGCTTTTCAATAATTGCTACAATATATATATGACTGTTATTATAAGTCAAGTTAAGGTCATCAGCATAATCCTGTCTATAATTACTGACTCAAAATATAATAAATACTTATTTATGAGGACCAGTGCTTGGCATGCAGGCTTTCCCAGTAAAACAAGACATCCTCTTTTCTGTCAAAGTCAACTCAAATATATATATTGGACTGGTGTATGTTCACTGGTTTGACTAAACATTTCTTTGAGCAGGATATTTTAAAAAAAATTAAATATAGCTCAATAGTCAGTCTTCCTCTGAATGAGCCCTATGAACAGATTGTTTAATAGGAAAAACACTTGAGCATCCATGAGCCAAACCATGCCATGATACGTAGGTGAATGGATTTTACGCCCCATATGTTTAAGCAAAAAGCCCTGTACTGAGAACACAACCTTATACTGTAGCTAATTATACTATGAAATGTGTATGTAATCATTGTAAACATCTTTACAATATTGAAACACACCTCTAGCCTTTAGCTTTAATGTGTCATTACTCCAGGCTCTGGCCCACTGTTTGAAACAATGGAGAAAAAAATAAATGTTTTTCAGAACACAAGGGGTTATCTTCTGGTCATAGTAAGCCACAAAGAAATAAACAGACAGTTTTTGTACTTTATTAAATAAATAACTCATAAACAGCATTGGGAGAGAACATGGTACTGAAATAAAAGGCACTTTGAAAACAATACTGGATAGGCATTTGGGTGTGAAAGCATTTCAGAGGTGATTCATATGATGTACAACACTGTTGGTTCAGTCTTACAATCCAAACAACTATAACTAACAAAGCTGACACACACAAATGAGTTTTGGTGTACTTGACATGAACACAAGAAAGGACCTGAGAATGACTAATAAAGTTACTGCAGTTAGCAAATACAGCAATATTTCATTAGTTAATTGCAATTATCTTAACTATACAAATCCTCTGATTATTCAACATTGCCACAGTATCATAATTTTACCAAGTGGTTTACAGTCCCTTTGTTATAGTATATCAACAATTCAAATGGCAGTTTTAATTAATCTTCATCTTGTGTATTTACTCTTAGAATAGAAAACAGTATCGACGATCTCAAACATTTGATGTTTCTAAGCTGCAGTTCAAAACTACATTTACAACCACTGCATAACCTACTGTGACACAACTGTCCAATCTAAGCTGAATGCTGAATATCATTCAATAATTCATATTGCAGTTGTTATCTATATATACACACACTGACATAATGTACTGCTCTGGCTGACAATTTAAATATTAAACTCAGGTCCTGTCTGGAACACACAGAAACACACAGGAAGTCAGTGCACAGAGAAGAAGAGGAGAGAGAGTGAAAGACAGAGAAGTGTCTGAGAAAGAGACAGAAGCTGAGGAATTCTTGTACATATATTGTATATCCATAGTGTCCACATTGTGTTGTTAAAACAAATAAACAAAAAAAACAAATAGCTAAATCCTCCGCCCATACCAGTCCTGTGGCAGGAAAAAAGCACCCTCATGTCATAATTTTTGCAAATATGCTATTTAAAAGTATATACACATACTGTAGACTGTACATCTAAAATACAACAAATGCATATAAATCATAAGTGTCAGTAAAAATACAGATGCAGTGGCCGCATGATACATTATAATGGTAAAGTGATAAGAAAAAAAAGTTCCCCTCAGACCCACAAATACTGCAGCTGTCAGATACTTGTTAGCAGAGTTAATTGAAAACTATGACGCCATCATTTTCCTTCATATTTAGGATTGATCACAGTCGTGACAGCACTTTTGTAGATTGGATTTTCACCCTGGAAAGCAAAAAAAAAAGTTACAATAATGTTATTATTACTCAGTCAAGCAAAATGCAACGTTTTTGTTAGACACATTCACCAATCACACAGAATCTTTTTCCAACCATTAGGCATGGTGATATAATATCTTCATTTAATGTACATGTAATGTATTAAGATCAAACTTAGCACACAGCCATGCTTTTGTGACAACATACCAAATATCAGGAGGTACAAATAAATCATATTTAAACACATAACATACTTAGCCAGCACAAGATTTTGGTATTCGTGCACCAAAGACACTTAATATCCTCAAACCCTGAAAGTTTTTATTGATTTTTTTAGCTGTTCTGATTGTCACAGCACACTCATGCACTCATTTTTACAAACACTGAAGACAATGTTTCTCTTCCTTAGTTTACACTTGTCTATTGTTGACTTGATCGTTTTAAAAGGCAGGTGAAACAAAGACAAAGTAGCAACTGAGTGAAATCAAGACACACATAAAGCCCATGCAGGAAAATGAAATGGAAAGGAAAAGAAATACAAACTTAGAGGACAGCAGCTTTACGGCCGTAGTTTGGGTTCTGGAACTGATTGATAGGACTCTTGTATATGGGGTTTTCTTGCTACAGGCAGAGAATATGGACAGAATGGAGTTCAGCCAGAAAAAAATAGCACAGCACAGCACAGGAAAAGGAATGAATAAAGCCCAATGAGAGTGGTGAAAGGAACACAATGCAAGAAAGAGAAGGTAACAGATAAAGATAAAATCTGGATAAAACCAGCACTTATTCACACGGATCTTTATTGTTAATCAAGTGATCAAAATGTGGATCTTGTGCACACATAATTATAATGAATTATTAAAAAAAGTAGAGGTTTTCATTGAGACAATGTGCCACTGGCAACAGACAAAACTATGTTATATAATATATGTATGTATACATATAAAATAATAAAAATAAATACTGATTTGGATTTGGTGCAAAAAAAAGTGATCCGGACATCCCTCCATTTGACTGAGCCCTGTGACTTCTGAACAGGAAATGCTAAACACACATCAAACAGAAGCGCTGGCTTTGATGTCCAATGAGCTATTGGTCCACTGGGGACTTAGTAATCCATTTATGGAGGTTGCAGACATTTTAAACAATTTGTTATTGTGTATTCTCTGTCTTACATCTGTGAAGAACTGTGAATAAGAAGTCCCACGCCTTTTTCTAAAAATAAAGAAACATTCTTATATCTATTGTAAATTAAAGAAGAGCCTACTCTCAAACATTGTGCAACACCTTGATTAAATTGAGATCTATTTTAATTTACTAAAACCAAGTACTCCCTTTCATTTCTCAAAATTAAAGGGATCTGGGGCCATGGGTTGCCCTGCCCATGGTAACAAGAAAGACCCCAATGTACGGAGCCGAGCCCGCATAGAATTGATCAGGAACATCTGCATCAATAAACCCACATACGGGGTGTGATACAATTCCACCACTAGGTGGAGGCATATTACTGCACATGAAGTTGCTGAAATCCAGTCTTCTGTCATATTGATGTTGGCTGATGATGCCACAGAAGCAAGGAAGCGGGGGTGGGGGGGTGGGGGGAGCTGTGGCCACTCCCCAGAAAAAGCCCCGCTATGCTCAGAGCGCATAACATTCCCAAAAAAGTCCACACAGTCTCCGGCATTTTTCCTTTTTATTTTAAGCGCCACTCAAAAGCAACACATTTGTTCTGTTTCTGCAGCTGTGAGACGGAAGAAAATGCGAACAAGACACTTTGTAATAATATCAACAAGTCTGCAAATCTCATCTGCTGCTAAGAAGCACAAATTATTTTCACAAGTTAATTCCCTGACAGCCACTGGCTTTGCAGAGTAGCCAAACAACACCTGTTTTCCACATTTAAATAACTCAACCAAACTTCTGCCAAAACTCTAAAATACTTATCCTGCTAACTTTTACAAAGCCGGTCAAGTTCCCCAAACTCACCGTGTCCCATTTGGCGTTCATCTTCTCTTTCTCAAACTTGGCAAACTCTCTCCTGTCATGGATGATCATCAGCAGCTTCCAGATGAGCAGCAGGGCTAAGCCAATCAGGACGATGCCGGCGACCACGCCTGCCACAATGGGGATGATGTCAGGACCGGCGGGGCATTCTGAAACACAGCAGGGTGCAGCAGTGTGTTTAGGCAGCTTGAAATAAGAGTGCAAAAATAACAAGATCATGACCATCACACGGCTGTACGTAAAGAAACAAATGTCCTATTTTTGCAACCCAACCACCGCAGCCCCTGTAATTAGCTTTCTGTCGCAGAAACCTTCCACAACCTGGTTCATGTTAGCCCAACGTTTTGCTTACCCAGCGTTTCAACCACATGGACCTCCTTCTCTGTGTTGTTGTTGACAGCGTAGGTGTAGTAGAACCAGCAGTCATTGGCGTCCCTCTCCTTGCAGTGCATCAAAGGGTAGGAGGGGACGTTGGGCTGGGGTAGCTTGTCCCTGTCCTTCACTTTAATCAAGTTGAAGTAGCTGCAGTCTCTCTCACATGTGTCCTTCTTCTCACCAGTGCCAAACGCCCGGCACTCGATGCACTCTCTGGAGGGAAAAGGGTGTTGTTAGTAATGAGCATTGAGATTTTCTTTGTTATTAAGGGTAACCCAACTTACAAAAACCCCCCAAAAAACATACATTCTCAAATTCTTCTAATGATTCCTTGTTGTGTGTATTAATGAACAGAGTTTTTGCTTCACTTACACAGGTTTTGTCTTTTATTATTCTAAATATACTGAACATGACATTTTAAAAAATTCAACAGCAACAGAAATTACTTTCCAGAAATTATTTTACTCTAGAGTTACTCTAGATCAGGCTGACACTGTGACCCTCCCCCAGAGATAATGGAGACAACTGCTTATTCAACCCTTATGTAGCGCTGGAGTTAGCTGTGGGATACTTTAACTTTGATTTGATTTTTAACCCTTTTTTTTGTTTACATTTTGGCAAATTAGCAACATTACAAGTATGCCGAATTAGCTATTAGCAGAATCTCTTTGCACTGTACTCATGGATGTACAGAAAACTATCACTGGATAACTTTTAGAATGAGGAAAACATGATTATTCTCAGGCAAGTGTTGGACTTAAAATGTCTTTCTTCTATGATTTCCATGCAGATGTATGGATGTTTATTTGCGGTGAACATTGGAGATAAAGGTGTCACACTGAATCTAAAACTATGGGTATCATGTCTGTGTGTTCAGATACTGGTATTGTGTCCCAGCAACAAGCCTACTTGCGACTAATGAGAAATATCCCTGTGCTGCGGCTCAGGAAGTGAAATGCCATCAGGGGAAAACACAACAAGGGAACAACACTGTAACAACAACACTGTAACTGTGGAAGATTGAGCTAATTCAGACTGCTGAAGACTTATATGAGCTTCGGCTGAATTTTGAACCACATTTCCCACATTCAACGAAGGTATCACTTTATGGCCAATTAGTTCAGGAGGAAAGACTACAGCAGCATATCACCTGGTCAACATTCATTTCACATGTAAGTGTTTTATTAAGATAGAACCTGTTCTTTAGATATGAAAATACACACAAGTATATTTCAAAATATGTAATATATAACAAATGAAGTATTACAGTATTTACATTGGCCCATCTTCATTTCAGACTTACTTGTGTTCAGTACAGACTCCAGGACAGGTAGGGCAAGTCTCACAGGTGGGACCCTGGAATTTGGGGTCAGTGCACTTGCAAGTACCACATTCACAAGTTCCTCTACCGTTACAGATCTGCTTGTTGCTGGCCATACATGTGCTGTTGTCCAGAGAACAATCACAGGCACTTCCAGTCCACATGGGGTCACAGATACACACTCTGCACTCACAGCGTCCATGCCCTGGGAAAAAAACAGTAAGAAAGCTTAATGTGCCTCTTTCTAAACATCATCCTATGTGCATTAAACTGTCTCTGCTGCACTGAGTAAAGCCGAAGTACTGAGATGTTAAATTCAGAGAGAGAAAATCTTCCTAACATAGAGCTGTCACGCTCACCTCCACACAGTTTGTTTCCGGAGCGGTCACAGTTGAAGTTGTCACACTCGCAGTACTGGCCGCTGTACCTCTCCTCAGGGTTGTCTCTTTTCTTGCACTCACATGTGCCGCACACGCAGTCTCCGTTGTTGCTACAAATGTCAGTACTGTTGTCTTTACGGCAGGTCCTGTCCATGTCCTCTGTGGCCACATCATTGCTGCTGCATTCACACTGTCTGCCCACACGTCCTTCATTACACCTGAGTCAAGGGAGAAGTTGTGATTCTGAAGGGTTTCTTAACACCAAAAAAAAAATCCAAGTATAACTGAATATGACACTTGAAGGTTTGCGCAAGATGTATGGTACAATAAAGATTTTGGAAATGTTCAGACTTACTTGCAGGCTCCACATTCATAGGTCCCGTTACCAAAGTGGCAGAGTGGACTGTTCTTGATACCATCCTTGTGGCATTCACACTCACAGATAAAGTTGAGGGTAATCTCCACCTCCTCTGTGAATCCCAGGGGCTTCATCTTAATGGTCTCAGGCTTGCCTTGTTTTGGACAGCCCTTAGATGTCACACTGATGCTAAATGTGACCTAGAAGTGAAAGAATAAAGGAGATTTTTGGGCCTATCCTTTTTTAGTTTTGATCTGATATTTGTCTAGAGTCTGGTATATTCTGATGGCAAACAGCAGGAATTTTATAATGTTACTAATATTTAGCTGGAGGGAGCTCCTCTGCACCTATTGATATTTACTACATATGTATTTACTAAATATACATATATATATTTTTATGTATATTATACTAGTATATTACTAGTTAATGCTCACTGGAATTCCATGTGTCTCATTAGCTATCTGAAGATTGATGTTTGGTAATGTTCTGAATACCTTCAGTATTGTATCTTCCTATTTGCCTCTAATAAGTTATTTTAGTGGTCTCCAGCAAGTATTTCAAAATGCTGAAGATGTCCATATACAAGCTATTATGACATTATGGCAATGTTTTTTCAAAAGTTTATAAAAGTGTTTATAGTGAAATCTGAGGTCTAAGACAATTGCAAGAAAGACAAGTCTAAAAACATCTGTAGGTGTTACAAAGTAAGATTTCACACTTTTTTTGAAAAATTGCTACTTGATTGTTTTGTTTGTTAATTGTTACTCGAGTTCAAGACAAATAAAAATACACAAAAAAAAAAAAGCAGGACAAACGAGCTATCTATGTTTTAACTCCGAAACAGTAAATGGCCAGTATTAAGTGTATCTGTAATAAGACATTTTTTAATTTACGAGATACTATGTTCCCAGTTGTGTATTTATGAGAAACCATTTACTATCATTGACTTAAATGCATGTAATGATTGAGTGCGTTTTGACAACTGACTGGATAATTCACCAGAGCAGTTTTCTCATCCTTACCTCATCCCCGATGGAGATGTTGGAGCACTTCCGTCCATTTTCGCCCACACTAACCACTCCGTTCTTACAGCGGGATGTGTAAGTTATGGTCACTCCCTCTGGAAGCTTGCTGTTCTCCAGAATAACCTCAGATGAGAGAGACTGTCAAAAACCAAGAGATGACATGAATGTTGCTATTTCCTGCTGTGGAATGTCATCTGGTAGCTTTAGTTTGACAGCATAGCTAAGTATTAAATGAGAAAATATGTGTATGGAAAAAGCTTTAACTGTCCAAATCAGTCAGAATGTTGAATGCTTTAATGTGGTTCATGTGAGTAAATGATAACTTAATCAAAGTATTTTATAAGAGCACATAAAGTCAACAATCGCAACAATGTACTTACATTGTAAGCGTCTATAATGAGGTTGATTACATTGCTTGAGTTGGCAGACAGAGTGCCCACTGCAGACTTTGGTATCAGATTTTTCAGCTCCTGAGGAGAGAGGAAAAGTTTAGAATAAAGCTTTAATAAAGCTATGATAATCTTGTGATCCTTGTATTCTCTATTAGCAGCACCTACCATAGGATCAAAAATACTGTTCTATGAACTTTTAGACTGTAACCATAGACTTTAACCATTTCATTGGAGATTTAGATGGATACAATACTGATTTCAACCTTGAAATTATAAAATTGGTAATGCTTTGAAGCAGACTGACGCTACTGTAAGGCTCAGTAATGAACTTTTATCAAACTCAGATGGAATTGGGTTGAGCTGGCCTGAAAAGCAACAGCATGGCAGAAGGAAACAATCAGAGCGTCAAAGGGATACTGCCATAACTCACAGCAGATGTATTAGCCCAGGTGGAATTTTATTTATTGGGCATCTTCCAAAAACACACACACGCACAACAGGAATGAGGAAGAGTATGTAAGTGAAGTCAAAGTGTGTCAAATAGAGAAAAGTGAACTCACTTGGTAAACAGGCTGGAATTCCTCTGTGACTGCAAAGATGGTCTGAATGTTATTGTCGCTCAGCTTCTGAACCAGGTGAGCAATGGAGGGGTAATCCTTGTCAACAGGGTGGAGGAGAAAAGTCAAATTTACAGCGTAAACACACGCGTAGCAGTGTATGCCCAAATCTCAGCTAAATGAAACATTCCAGGGTCTTTCAAAAGAGGCCAAACAATATTCAGCTACTTACATAGTAGTGGCTCATGGTATACATATTGTTCTCCAAGTGACATTTCCCGTCGTTGGGTAGAACAATACCTCCCAGTTTGCCATCGCCAGCAAAGTGGAAGCCAGCATCAGTGGAAAACACCAGGAGACGAGTCACATTCCTCCAACCAATCTGCTCCTGAGAAATGAGAAAGAAACACTGAAACTACAAGTAAGAACTGTTGCTACCAGCGATACATCCTCTCTATAAAGCTTAGAATGTGACACATTACCGTTTTATTATCAATGCATCCAAAAATCTCCCTGTAAACCAACCTAAACACCAAGGACTCATAAAATACCTTTTCACACATCACCACATAAACGTATTTATTGGCGCTGTATCCCTCCGAGCAAGTGCCGTAATTGTGGGAAAATTACCTTGAATTGGGAACCTGAGAATGATTATTTCCCACAGGATCACTGAAGGGCAACATCATTAGTTTTTATTTGTTTTTTTTGCTTACCCCACACACAGCCACTTGCATGATGGCATCAAAGCCCCCCTCAGGAGAGTCCAGGTTTCCAGAGATGTGCTGCTGGCCCACCAGGGTGTTGAACCTCTTGCCATCACTAGTCAGCTTCAGGACATTCTTGTAGCTGAACGGGCTGGTGCAGTTCTGGTCGCCTGTGCATGGGTTCAGCATCTTGGCCGGGGTGGTGCTGATGTACGGCATGACTGTCTTTTCCACAAAGGAACCAAAACCTTTGAAAGACAGTTGGATTCAAGGTTTTAATTTAAACAACTTAAGCAAAAATTCCACCAGTGATTCAGGGAAAGGCTTAACAAGACGCTTGGTCTGAGACCGCATGCTCTAGTCTAAGGGTAAGTTGACACCAAATGAATTCAAGTGTTTGCTTTTTGCTTTGTTTGTGCTGAAAAGGTCACTTAAACTTGGGTGGCACTAAATACCCATAACATGACACCTCAAAATACAAGTCAGTTAAGCTACTTCAGAGGTTTTCAAAGTCTGATGCTGCCATCATAATGTCAGAAAATATATTGATGGTGTTTTATTATTAATTATAATTAGGACATTATTATCATTCTTTTCCTTACTTATATTTGGGGCATAATCATTCTCAAATTTTTGAAACAACCGTTCCCCATAATATGGGGGCTTTGGGGGATGTAAACAGGAGGATAATGTTGCCATGGAGTCAGTTGTGCTGACTTTGGGCTACAACTTGAGCTCCATCTTTTAGCCTTTATCTGTTTACATTTAGCAAATTAGCACAATTAAAAGTATTAGCAGTTCCCATCTGCAATGTACCCACGGACGTACAGACAACTATCGCTGGATTTGCTTGACACTGAAGAAAACCTAAAAAGGTGATGAATCTCATACAAGTTCTGGTATTATAAGGAACATTTTTCTATGATTTCTAAGCAGATTGATGGATTTTCATTGGGGATGGATATCTGACGTCTTTTTTAACAACTAGCATGCATCTGCCCCTTTCACCTGACACGTTATGTCATGACTCACCCTCACCCAGTAGTTCCAAAAACTATGATTTTTAATTAAAGGCCTTTCTTTGCTTTTATAATTAGGCTGTATAAACCTAGATGAACCAGAACCAAAAATGCAACAATGATAATTTTTAATTTCTTTGCCCCAAAAGAAACAAACACAATCACACACTCATGATTAAAATCCTCACCTATCCTGAAGTCAGAGGTAATCTTTGACATCTCCAGCATCAGACTGGTTCCCAGGTTCTTGACGTTCTCCAGATCGTCCTTCATGGAGTAGGACAGGTCCATCAAGTAGTACAGGTCGATGGGATAATCTTCAGCTCGTTTGAACTTCAAGTCAAAAGACTGGGGTTCACCTACATGAAGTGACCATAATTAAACAAACTCTAATCAAATCCAAAATAAGGTGAGAATAATTTCAGTAAAATCTTAATTAAAAAACATTCTCACCAGATCGGAGGGTGAGGCTTAGTTTCTGGGGCTGAATCTGAGTGATGTCCTCTGGCTTCAGTTTTTCTGCCCCCTTTCTGCGATGTGTCACAGTTTTGTTCTTGAGGGTCTTCTGATCCCCGCGCGGGTTTTCGATCATTGCATTATCACAGCCCCTCTTTATCAGAGATTGTAGCTCGTCACAACGGGTCGACACGGTCTCACCCTGTTTCAGGAAGTTCTAAGAGCAGCAGCACAGGGAGTATCAATCCATCAAGTGAAAATCAGTACATTTGTCATACTGCTGCATAATATCCTTTGTGACTCGGTTGCAGCTTTCATCAGGGTTATTTTCATCAGGCTTAGCTTAGCTTAGGCTTGGAGACTACAAATTTAAAACAGAAAGCCTATGTTACAAACTGGGGACATCGTGGCGAAAACCGGGGGATTACCAGACAGAGAGGATCCAACAAAAGACAGGGACACAAAGTTGGGATATTTTGACCTGTGCTGCTTTGATTTTGACCATTATTGTTTTAATATGTCTCTCACAAATCCCACAAGTGCAGGCAGGCTAGGCTGGACCTAACATGAATATAAATCACAGAAAAGCAGCAAATCTTAACATTTCAAATGTTTGACAATTGACTTCAATACATTATAAAAGTGGTTGCCAATGAATTTTCTTTTGTTAATCCACTCATTCTTTCAGCTCAAGTGATTTTCAACTTTTCCACATTATTGTTGTAAATTAAATATCTTTTGGTTTCGGACTGTTAGTCAGACAGAACTAGGGTCTTAGGGAAATTGTGAGTTTCATTATTTTCTAAACAATTATTGATTCATTTAAAACTGATCAAAAACAATCATTAGCTGCAACCCTACATTAGCACGATCCAAAACTGCAAGCTTACTATTGCTATATGACTGATAGCATTATAATGGCATCAAACTGCATTTCTCAGCAGGGATTATAGCTGACAGCCTCCATTCACATACTGGGTCTTTACACCAGCCACATTTGGCTCCAGCCTGGATGCATTCCCCGCAGTATTTGGCGTTGGCATTGATGCACTCATTCCCCTCTGGATAGAAAACAAAGAGAGAAGAGAAGAGGAAGCAGAGTCAGAGTGGTCAGGGGGGGCAGTACAGTCCTTGCAAAGTAAGCAGCCTGTTAAGCCCCTCCGTGTTTACGCATCAGTTCATCTGGAACACCGTGTGGTTCGGTGGTAACTGGAGACAGAGACAGAATATTCCGTCTTTCCATTATCCTCTGTGATGCTAAGGGGACCTATGGTCAATGACATCATTAAGATAAAGTAGCCAGCCTCTCTCTGTGGAGGTAGTCATCATTATTAATTGTACGTTTATTATGCAAACAAACAAAATGACATCATGTGACTGAACAATAATGTTACAGTAATACAATCTACAAGCAGATCTTGTTTGACAAAATTAGGGCTGACTGAGAAGTCTTACCTTTCTGAGCATTGCTGTAACAAAAGACTCCTAACAATGACAATACCAAGAGCAGCTTCAGGTCCATCTGAAAACAAGAAAAAATCTTTAAAATGTGTCTCATCAAAGCGCTACTGTTGTTTCGAAAAGCAAGACGTTATTTGTGACTATTTTGTATCTCTTTGTTTTGGGGTTTGGTTTTGTGTTCTGTATTTTTTCTGTTTCAGTTTTGCTTTGGCCTGTTATTTTGTGTTTCTTCCTTATTTTATTTTATTTTTAGTTCTGTGTCTCAGTTCTTAGATCTGGTTTTCTTGTGTTCCATTTATGTTTTACATGTATTCTGTCTAAGTCCACTTGTCAGTCTGTTTTGCCCGTGTCCTCATCTGTTCCTGCATTTTAGTCTTGCAATGCTCAGGCGTTTGTCTCACATCAAGTGACAGTTTGTCTATGTGTGCTCTGTTTCTGCCCCATTTGTTTGTCTTAGTATTTAATACCCGTGTTCTGTTCAGTCTTTGATGGATTATTGTAGCCAGTAGTTGCTCTCTCACCTGTGTTTGTTCCTGCCTACCATGCCTGTTTTGGATTATTATTACACCTTGTTTTCTTTGGATTGATTTGGACTCAGCCACTGCTTGTAAGTATGCTTGCTTTTGTTTATTAAATCACTGAACTGAACCTGGTCTGCTCCAGTTTCTTGCATTTGCGTCCTCAACCCGTTTACACACACTGCAAACCCTGACACTTTGTTAACAGCAATATCTGGTGGCCTGACCGCTTGAATTCATAATTTCCTGGAGAAAAAGGTCCAGAAGAGCGACAGATGACAGATAAAATCTGTAAATGGCTTGGTTATAACTGGAGGTAATAAAATATCCAGTGGCAGGAGCTTGGCTATTCTCAGTCGGTCAAGGGGCAACAGGCAGCTTAATTCAATTCAGACCACCTTCACGTGTAAATACTGTATGTACACACATTCACGTATAGACACACGCACAATTACACTTGCCCCTGGCTTGGACTGCAGCCTCCTTTTTCTCACAATCCATTTTACTGTAAATAGCATCAGTTCCCTAGAGTCAACCCCTCTCTTGTCGTGTAAATTGATCCCGTCTGTGTGCAGGCCCTTTGGTCAGCCAAACTGATGCACCTTGTGCCTACTGTTAATTGCAAAGCTCATGACTTACTAAGGATAAGGGTAATGTAGGACCACTGAACACAACGGCTAATTTGTGAACAATCTACAGCCACACTAGCTGCTCTGCGAGACTGCACTTAACTGTAGTGGTGCTGTGAGCAAAGGTTTGCCAACATGCTTAATAACAATGGTAGCATTGCAGGTATAACGTTTATGTTCGCCATCTTAGTTTTGTTTAACAGCTTTACTTAGCACTACAAACAAAAAACAGCTGAGGCTGATAGGAGTTTCATGGTTAATGTATGGACTTAATGTCATGGCAATCCATCCTATAGCTGTGAAGATATCTGAATCTGAACCAAAGACCAAACAACTAACTTACTTGGTTGAGAAGAAAAAGTCATGTTGGCACTAGAGGAAAAGTTCAAACATCAAAAAAGTCCTTAGGTTACACCATCAGCAGACCCTGAATGTCTGTACATAATTTCACTGAAATCCATCCAATAGTTGCAGAGGTATTTCAGTCTTCCAAAGACTAACCGACCAATACGTTACCCCTATAGTCACACTGCTAGCATGGCTAAAAGATGCCTGAGAAGTTATACACACTGTACTGTAAGTTAAAGACAAGAGATTTTCAGTGGCCCCTATCATTATAAATTCCACATTACTGCTGCTGTTGTAAAAGACACTTTTGGGATTCTCACCCCTTTTTATTGGCAGTTCTAATAAACAACAGCTGGGAAGGCTCCTACAGAAAGAGACCGAATCAATGATCTAATGTTGTATTAAGGTACAGTGGCCAGCAAGGGATTGGCAAGTGCTGAATCTAATTAACATGTGGAATGTAAATATCCCGCTTGACCACTAATCAAAAACTCATGGGAGTCATTTCTAAGAGAATCTCCACAGTAGCCACGCTGTCTAGTTCTAATGTGAGCCTCATGTTTTAATAGCAGACAGTGATAAAATGAGAAAAAACTTTCTTTCTCTAGTTTTTTAGACCAGTGGCTGTTCCTGGCTATTCATGGAGGTTACATTAAAAGGCTGCATTCCCTTACACTTGGTTAAAGGAAGCTCTGACGTTCAGTGTGTATGGTGTTGAGTGACACATTCCTGTGTGTGTGTGTTTGTGCGTGTGTGTGTCCGTTTATATAGACACAGAGGGCCAGACAGCCTGTCTACAGCCCCCCAGATTAGACTAGCTGGCTTGAATCTCCACTGGTGTACATGTGCAGAGTGTGTGTGTGATCCATACCGTGCCCGAGCACGTTTAACCCCTAAAGTCCAGTTCGTTCTACCAGTATGAGCCCGGTACGCTCAACTGTGGGCCCACTTGAAGTGGTGGGCTCATGCACAGTACAAGACAACCAGGCCTAGTGTGAGTACGCCCTTAGTGTGTGCGAGTGTGTACATGTTGTGTGTTGTGTTTCCACATAAATACCACATTTAACCTGGCTCTGCGACTGTCGCACCATCACTACACCATACTGAAATTAATAGATTTTCAAGAGAATAAAAGGTTTCACAACATGTTTGTGACAACCTAAAATAAAAGATTCATACAGTATTTGATTTGATGTGAAACAGGTTTAGATATTGTGAGCGTTTGTGATGTTGTGCATGCACAATGACCAACTGATTTTAGTGAAAATCAAGCCTAAACTAAAGACATTCCTCTTATAATAAAACCACACACTCAGATATTTTCTTTTCACTGTTTCTGGGGTTTTGACTTCAGCTCCAAGGAATTATTCAAATCCAAACTATGCCTACAAAACGCCAGCGAGGTGTCAAGTTAGAAAAATAACCCTGTTGTCTTTAATAACATGAAGCTCAGCAGCTGCACAGAGGAATGCTCAGCAACAAAACTACAGTAAAATATAAGAAAGGGTTAGGAGCAGGATCATGTTATGCTGCCTTCAAGTGCACCTCAAGAGTTCAGAAGTCGTAAATACAATTTTTTTTTTTACAAAGGTTTTGGTTAACATGAGCACTATAATAAATGTATTTTTTGTCTGTACCCTTATAGAAGTAGAAAGGCAATAGAAATTACATTTATCTATCAGCCAAGAAGTATATTGTTTGACTTCTCCAAAAACCTTCATCAGTATGGATGAAGACCGTGCAATGAGGTAAAAAACACTTCAAAGACGACACAGCGTAGCTTACTGGTAGGCACTTTTCAGGACACTGCGGCCACTGCTGTGTGCAACCACACCAGCTTTACTTTTGAGAAATGTTCCTCTCCATTGCAGCTTTTCTTTGGTTTAAACTTCATTCAGTGGGCAAATCTGATGGGCCTTTAAAAGACATGCTCAGTCTTGCTTTCAAAACCGGGAAGCTTACAGTAAATATGCTGTAATGTTTCTGTCTTCATGTGTCTAAAACTGTCCCCCCAAACCATTCTATCTATCGGGTACAACTTCTTAGAAAGCTCAGTTTTGCAACCAATTACATGAAAACAAATAAGTCTTCAGAAGACAGTGATAGTAACTGCTATCAGCCCAACAACTGACGTAAATACAGAGCAGTCTGTAGCGTTTCTCCTGTTCTGACACTTTTAGAACTAATTTGATAGCTGCTGGATTTAAATGAACAAAATATGCTGGTTGGTTGACTAAACTGAGTAACGTGTTATAATGTGCAGTGGACGATTAGAGTCTGCAGACAGTTTTTACAAGAGCAGCTAACTCTTGGGAGCTTCAGTTTACAAGCTGTTAGCAAGTCAGACAAACCAAAGCTAAAAGTTAACTCACCCTGCGTTCTCTACAAGGTCATTTTCTTTTCCTGTCAACTCAAAGTAGCTAACTTTGGTTGATGCTGGACAGTATTGCGCCGTGAGTTTATAATGTTGGTAACCCAACCCGGTTATCATGGTAATTAAAATACGTACGGTAATACTAACCGTTGGGAATTTTACCATGGTTTATTGTTGAACTAACTTATATAAATAGTGCATAAAGGTGAAACAAACAAGTGCAACAAGGCAATGCAGTACAAGATTAAAACAATAGCTCCGACAATAATTCCTGACTATACTTTCTGACTTTCCAAGTCATGTTAACCATGTTTTGAGATTTGCTTAGTTTGGAAGAACAGTCCCAGACAACAGCCTTAAATTGCACTCCTCTGTGGGAAAGCAGAGTTTCAGGAGCCACAATGCTCAGAAATATACCCACATACCTTTCTGGATAAGCAAGATTCTGCAAATAAAATTATCTTATCATTGAGTAACATCACTATAAATAACACAGTTTGAGTTATGAAGTCTGAGGAGTGCGTGCTCCAATAAGCACACTTTTATAAACAGCTTGAATATTTTGGTTGTGACATAGATATGAATCAAATTTGCTAATGTGTGGAAGGGAGGGATGGGGACTTAAGATGTTTGCACAACAACCACAATGCTCAAATGTATTATTGTAATAAAGATAAATTCCAGACAGTTGCCTGACAACACCATGACAGATCACCACTGGTTATTCTCTTACAGTAAAGCAGTTTATGTAGCTCCCACGCTCTTCCTGCCTGTTTCTGTCAGACACCAGCAAGCATACATGCACATTTTACTCGTCAACGCCTGTCCACTTGTCACAAACACACACAAACACCTGAGCTGTGAACGGCATCCCAGTGTTTTATGGGCTTTCTAGAGCTCTATCAGTTGGCAGGAGAAGGTGATGTATGGCAGACACTGTGGTGCATGACTAAAATGGGCCGAGCTTCTCAGGCATTCCTGAGGGACTGAATGCTGCCTGACCAGGATAGTAACCTAAAACACTGTTACTGCACTTTGGGGAAATGTGAGCTGAGACCCACGATGAAGGGATGCTGAATTTGTAATGCCCCCATTTCCTCAGTTTGCTGTTATTAATTCAGTATTCAACTAGCGCTGAAACAATAATTTGATCAACTGATCAGTCAGTTGAGTCAGAAATGTGTATATTTTG